CAACTTTTCCTTATATACATAGAGATTGGACTTCAAAAATTCTACTTAAAATTTCTGTTGGTATCAACAGTACTGAAACTTTTTGCTCACAAGAACATGATCATGAACAGCTACTAGTAACTACAATGTAGTATTTGATCTGTAACATCCCAGGTTGTCCCCCGGGGTGTTTCTGTCCCCCCTCTCCTTATAAGGTAACCCCTGAGGTGCCCTGTGGTGCTAACCACCCCTGCCTGTGAGTGGTTTGACCCAACAGACTGTGATCTGCACCTGTGTGTACCTTAGGGACAGTCTGGATCATTATCACAACTGCACCTGCTTCCAAACATGCTGACTTTCCTTCCACCTCAGGCAGGGGTGACTAACAACCAGGCTTTTAGCTAGGATTTTTTTGTTGGGTGTTCATTTTTTTATTGTACGCAGCAAAGACGCACAGTGTGCGACCTTTTTAGGGGGGCTTTTTTGATATTCATAATTCTCTCAAACACAACTTTCTGCATTTTGAGGAATTTGAGTTTTTTCCTTCAGTAAACCATCATTTTTGTATGCTGAAAGGAGGCATGTGTGCATGGCAGGGGTTGGAAGTGGAAAAAATAGGGCGTCTTTTGTCCTACCAAAAAGTAGGGCGTCCAATTTCTTACTATTTTCAGTACAGGGCGTCCAAAAGACACCCTGGACACCCCCTAGCTAAAAGCCTGCTAACAACAGAGAGACCACTTCTGCACTGTTACACTGAGTACGGGACATAGTGAGTGTGAGTGAGTGAGCGTGAGTTACAACTGGGCCTATTTATCACCTACAACAACCAGAGAAGCCTTGCAACTGGAGTTACATGTGCCTACAACGTGTACTACATGTACTACCACAGTTCTGAAACAAATAATTGATTTGTGACGTGGCATTTCAGTACCTTTTGGAACTATTAAATTTAGGAACTTTAGAAACCACATTACGATATCCTTAGGACTCGCTTCATGCAATTGGGGAAGTTATATTACACTATAGTGGGAATAGAACGGAGGTTGTGGAGAGGGCCTAGCTTTAGTCTCCAGCCAAATCATCCCACAGACAATACAACAACCCGAGTTACTCTAACCTAAATTTGTACATGTAGAAGAGAACAACACGGCTTCCCTAGGATTGATAGGAATTATCAGACACGTTATACTATAAACACTGGGACTAGAACCCATGTTGTGGAGACCCAGACACCCCTCAGACAGATCTACAAACTCTCAGCTTCTCTCACCTCCATGTGGAACAAGCTTCCCACCATGCACCAGGCTGGGTACAGGGCGGATTGTTTACTCGGACATGTCCGTTGTTTACTCTGACCTTATCACAGAAGTAAACAAGACAACAACCAGGCCCACACGTGGCAAATCACGATGATGATAAAACTGTTCAACCAACTCTAGATCTGTTTCATGCACTGAACACTTTTAACTGGCTTAGGGAGCATTTTGGCACCAACTTTATATTGGCTTTTCAAAATAAAAACTTAGGCAGCAGCAAAAGAGTCATGCAGCTTTCAGATACAAAAGGCAGGTCAAGGAAAGTTACTTGTTTTTTTCATTCTCACGTTATAATCAAATGTATTTTTCCACTTTTAAAATCCAATGGTTCTCATTCTGAAAAATAAAATCAAACACTATATGCTAATGATGGTGGTGTATTATACTGAAAGGCAGTTATACTGGCTATACAGATACAAATGGGTCATTGTGTCAACCAGATACCTTCCTGATACTATTATATATATAAGCTCTGTATGTTGTCTGGTCCACTCCAGTTTAGGATTGACTGTCTGTCGTAACAAGTCGCGACGTCAGCGCGTGTTTATGAGTCAACACGAGTCACACGGCGAACAACTCAGCGTGAGAAACCCACGTTATGGACAAGCCAAGCCTTCGGCAAACACACACACACCCTACCACTTACCGTACTGAGTTTTTATAGTATACAGTTTCAGAGACCCACTATAAAATTGCTACAGAAGTCAGGGTTCGAAATACTTTGCTGTTTTCTAGTAACTTACATTATAACATTTATGACATAAATGTAGATGAGATGTTGTACGTTTTGTTTTTTTTTTGTTCTAGAAGCTCGAATTTTACCCTACCCACTACACATGGATATTTCCTACCTGAGAAGACATTTTTTATTTTGTGATTGTGTTTTTTTACTCTCATTCTTTATGTTTTTTTAGTATAAGCAACTGCGCTTATTGCATAATACTGACTATAACTAACTATATTGTATAGTATATGTGAATAAAAAAAACATACAAGACTTACTCATTGTGACTGTGAAGGGCCCATTCTGTCAGCTGCAGCTCAAATTTCACTTCAACTTTCTTTGGCACAGTTTCTCCTGGCAGGGAACAAGCTTCATCTTCTCCTCAGCATCTATGGGAAAAACAGATTTTTCATCACAATCTGTTTCTTTTTCTATGATTTCTGCTCAGACCCATTTCTGAGATTATCGTACATGTTAGTTATCACAATCACTATCATTTACTATACGAATCATTTGGCAGAGGCCTGTGAAAAACTATAAACAATAAGGTTTCAAGCCTCCCCTGGCATATTTGTCCATTTTATCATTTGATTATGTATTTCTTTGTATAAGTGTAAATAAACAAATCACATCAAATCAGTTACAAATGAGCTGTAAACGTTACATTTTGACATAAGAAAAGAAGGGTAATTTGGAAGGGAAAAGAGTTATGCATCAACCATTTACATTGTCATTAAGAACATAATTTACCAATGTTCAACTTGGGATTGTCACAAAGTACTAGTATTAGGATAGGATCCGATAGTAAACAGTTTAATGTAACAATTGTATTTTACATATTAAATTCATTTTAGACTGACTTTTCTTTTACTGATGTAAATAAGAAAAATAACTTTGTCTTCAAGAATATCTATTGAAGACTACACAGTTTGGGTTGTGTTCTGCCTGATTTGGAAAGTAATAGATATATATAAATCTGTCACATTTAACAAGAGTCAATACAATTAAGGGTGGGACCAAACTTGCAGAATAATAGTCGAATTCTCGAAATTAGAAACGCAAACACACACGAACGAACTAACCAACTTCCTGCTCCATTCTTGTGAAGTTCAGGTTCAAACTTCAGGCTATTTTCCTGTACCCAAGTAAGGGTAAACTTCTTTCCAGTTGACGAAATTCCAAATACGACGTTTCCCTTCCAGACCAGACTGGTTTACTGTTCACTTCTGTCGATACTTTTGTAAATATAATTATAACGTCAAAGCTTCTGGAATGCTGTCTTTATTTGGAAATAATGTGGGTACAGGTACATTTCCTGTAGGTGTCAGATCTGGAGGTTTTTCGTCCAGAATTGGTGTAAAAATCGGTAGAGAAAAGTGAAGAATTTTGCCCAAATCGGGGGTTAGAAAATTTTGAACTGTGCCTGGGGTCATACAGAGGGACTAAACTCACTACAGCCGATTTGGAGGAAACTTCGACAAACACAACCCCCAAAAACACGCCCTAACGTCGCAAATTAACCCTAATTTTCGTACCTGAGCTAGCTGATAGTACAGACAGAGTGTCCAGACGTACCTTTGTGGGCTGCGAGCGGTGAAAATCCGTGAATTTTGCGCGAAAAGTGCGGAAAGTCGGACCTAGACAGGAAGTTAGCGGCACTTTGGGAGGGGTGCGAGACTGACCTTTCAACTTATGCTAATTAGGGGACCGCGGGGCATGATGGGGGATCTCGGAGCGCGGGAAAAGCCGAAAAAAAATCGTCTGCAAATTTTTTCGAACACAGACGACAGTCAGAAGAAAATTACGTTAAATTTTAACTTTTCTGATGCCTCTACAAGATCCAAGACATTCCAACCAAGACTCTAAGTGTATTGAAAATGGCACACGAAGTTTACTGACTGGTGAAGGTGAGTGAAAGAACCGTTTTACGTGATATCAAAGACATTTCTGATCATTTCTGTGCTGTGTAAATGTCCTTGGTGATATAGAAGATAGAATTACTCAAGTACATCGTCGATCCTGTCTTCAAATCGAATAGACAGACGTTTATTTCCAGCTAATCGAATAAATAATCATGTTTTGAATATTTACCGCCCTATCCATACAGTTTTCCCCCTGGTTTTCCTGTTGTTGACATCTTTACTCCGAATTTGACTATCGTCCTGGTGAGACTGCGCTTCCTAGCGGTCGACTCGTTCATTGCACCAGACTTTAATATTATTTTTTGACATGATGGTGTCATGTTCCTCACTTAACTAACTCTGTTCTTCAGGGACCAGGTCAACACCAAGTTGATTTCCTGGGTTACACTTTAAGTTTAATACACACTTTTAAAAGTTGGCCAGTGTTTATCAAAGAAGGTATTTTTTTCTTCTTCCTTTTCACATTTTATGTCATGCCATGATCGAGTCACTTTATTCCCTCACCATTTACCATCATGATCATTTTGATGTCTACTCCTCTGCAAATTAATGCATCTTTCTTGTACTAATACCATCCTGAACTTCTTTTTTCTAACCATTTTAGTTTTGTTGAAAAAAATTATTGATATTGATGCCAATTTTATCTACTGCTTGTTATTGATTATTATTGAAACTTTGCAGTTATGTAATATGTATAAAAGTTTCTTTTCAACTATGTATGATGTGACATTGTCATTCTTTTCTCCTCATTTTCTTCTTATCCTTCAAATGTAAACATGAGGTCACCAAATAGTAAATTGGAGACACAATTAAGTTACTGCAAGAAAGAAGAGATAGTCATTAAAATCAAGCTACACTGTACGTAAGAAAATTCAAACTCTACTACTGGATCAGTTAACGGATTTATTTCCGGACGTTTCGAGTGACATCCATCATTCTTCTTCAGCGTCACAAATGAACAGAGAACCGATTCACTCTTATATACAAGTAACTAGAAAAAACGGTTAAACAACAAGTTCCGTAAGAAGCTTTATCATGTAAAAGAACGGTTCATTAAATGTACAGGAAATTAGAACTAGAAAAACCTGTTCAACAACCGTAACCTTCAACCCTAACCTTCATCAACGTAAGCTACACTGTAGTTTTGTCCACACTGTGTATTCCAAATATTGTTCAAAACTTCATTTATAAAAGTACAAGTCTTAGTTACAATACCAGATGCTCTGGCCTTATTTGTACACCCTATTGTTACAGTAGAAATACATATATGTTACAACATTTGATTTTTTACCACTCAGTGGCCCTTTACTATCGAAAATACCATTTGATGGGTTCCATCTAGATAAAAATATCAATCATCTTTTTACAAGGTCTTAAATTTTGTGTCGTCACTGCTCATAGTTTGATAGGAAGAATTCAAAATACATTTTGTGTACTAAATGGAATTTGCAACTTTGGTCCTGATCGAGACATACATGTACATCATATTCTTATCTCTATCTGACAATAAATCTAAAAGATAGCTAAACAAATAAAACTTGACTTAATCAGCCTTGTAGACTGCAGGAATTCAATCTGATTGAAACCTCCCTGATCCTAAAACCAACGGCACACTTACTGACATCGGCTGATATTCACATTCTCAACCTTTGGTCCAGACATACATGTACATTGCCTTCTTGTTTGCAATTTATCCATCAAGAGGCACAATTCACAACTTGTCTGTAATCAAATCTAAAAGACTATTCATCAAAATCAAATAAAACTTAGACTTACTCAGCCTTGTAGTAAGCAGTACCACAACATACAAGTTAGGAGTTCAATCTGATTGAATCATCCGATGATGATATTAAGTTTTTTACATTCTTCTAAACCTTTGGTCCAAGTTAATTAGGACTGCTTTAAGTTAGGAATTCAGTCAGGTTGAAACCTCCGCTTGTTCCTACTTTTACCAACAGCTACATGTACTTATCAAATAAGATTTGTTACATTCCAAGCTGTGGTCCAGACATGCCTGTACTAATTATATGTCTGTTATTCTATGAAGAGTCAAATACACAAGCCACAAGTTTTCGCTATCTTATATCAAATCTAAAAGTCATATTAATAACAAATCAGCATTCTAGAGTGCTACAAGTTAGGAATCTGCGTAAGGAGGATGTGCAGCCTTACTCTTAATGTGAGACCATAATATATTACAAATTAATAATGTAAAATGTTCAATTTCTTCTCACTTAACCAACTGGCCATATTTTCTGTCTGGTTTCAAGACATTCAGTGATTCTCTTTCTATCACTCTTCCAGCAGGTTGAACAGAACAGCCTCCTCAAACGTCAACATCTGGCTGGTCGGCTCTGAAATGACAAAAACATGACGTAAACATTTGGAAATGATAATCATTGTGCCATTTTTAACAAGCATAATTGGACTCTTAATCCTAAAAATTTCAACCTACCCAGTTGCATGTAAGAATCATCTGTAACAGTCCATAGCTTACAACTTTTTTCCTCCATAAAAGAATTGAAATTATAATTTATATGACAGAGTCATTAAAATGTTATGCTTGCCTGTCAGCTTACCTTGTCACATGTGCAACAGGTCAGCTAGTCCAAATCTGGATCCTCGCTTTTGGTGCCCTGTCCTTCAGCTGCAGCTGTCTCGGTGCCCTGTTTACTTGAAGCTGAGTCATCTTGCTGTGGACTGTAAAAAGAAAGAAAAAAATAGATGTCATTAATCTTAATTTTCGAAAGCCGTAAAAAAAGGTTGACAGCAAAGTTGGCACAGTTGGCAATTATAGCGGCAAGAAGCAGAACTCCAGTCAGAAGCTCTGAGGAAGGTGTCTGATAGGCATCAAAATGTAAGGTTGTGAAAAAGAAAATTCCTAGTATATCCTATGAGTAATAGATAAAATTAGCATCAATATCAATTATAGAAAAACTACAAAAATGAACTTCAGGGTGATAACTAAGATCCATCAAAATGAGTTTAACCAATAAAGGACTTTATTAATAGCAATGAGGCAGTAAAGTGATAACGATTGTATAGTGCAGAGATTTTTGTCCACGTGTTAATTACATTACGCAGTTACATACCTGCCTGTCTCTTCACTGGGAGAAGCGGCACTAGCTGCACCTGGAGGAATAGCAATTGGGGGACTGGTGAGGGAAACTGGTATAAAAATACAGCTTAATGATCCAACTTTCTGTAAATCCTAAAACAAAATTTTTTAATGCATCAGAATATGTCAGATGATGTTACTTATGACAAAAAGTTTAATAAGCTGATTGTGCATCTGAATCAACCCAAAATCCTGAAAATGTCACAGAATTAACTCAACTGATTCCAACCCTAGAGATAATATAAATTTTTATAATCTAACCGCATGACTGACTTTTTCCATTCACTTATAGCCATCAATAAGTTGGAATCATAACATTTCTCCCTACTAAATGTATTTAGAACAACATGACTACAATTTGTACTACATTTTACAATCTTTCCTGAAATAAATTTTGACACAGTGACTACACTGGCACAATTGCAGTTATCTATAGTTATCACATTTCTGTTGACTTTGTCAAATTGGCTTAGAGTTAGCATTAAACACCTAATCAGCAGCAGACATGTATACTGCAAACAAGAAACGTCACCTGTTGGCTGTCCTATATTGAAGAATTTTAAAACTTTGTCAGCTAGGGCTTTGATCTCCGAATCAATTTCTTCCCGTAGGAAGTGATGTATAATTCGGATGTACGATTGTGGTTCTTCCTCAACTCCTAGCTCTTTCAACACTCCCTTGGCGTCAGTGAATGAAGAGGGTTGTGCCAGCCACTCTTTGGTCTCATCTTCAGTCACTTGATGAAATTCGGGATCCTTGAGCTGGCCAAAATATGTTGTAATGATTGTAGTTATTCTTTAGACACCTGATCACATTGATAACTCTAAGCTCATGATGAAGCAATGGTGGCAACCAAAAGATGAAGCATATGCATAACTATCAGGCTAATATTAATTACCATAACTGATTAAGCATGCTGTTTCAACTGAGACAAGAAATAAAAGGAACAATAATCATTGTTCCAAACAGTCAGCACACGGCAGTAAAGTAACTGCATATATGCTTCATCTTGTAACTAAATGAGAGTAAGGCATACTATTTGTAGTGGATTAATGCAGCCCTGTTTTCACTGAACACAATTGTAAATAAATGTATTAAATTTCATGACCGTAGCCAGAGGAGATTCGAAAGAGGTCAAAGGTCCACTTTTTATTTGGAAGGTCCGAGATTGGACTGGAATCTTATTTGCCTCTTGATTTTTCCTTTGAAACCCCCTCAAAAATGCAGGAAATGCCATTTCATCAGGTTCGATTTTCCAGGGGAGCACATGCCAAATGAGTCAATGACCCTAAGAACTCTGTCTATGGTGTTCACCGGTCCTGCAGACAGTAGGGAGAACCCCTCCAAGCAACATCCTCAGGGCTACTGGCATGAATTTCTATTATCATTCACCTCATTTAGGTTAACTCTATTTTGAGTACTTACCTTGTCTTTACCACCTTTTTCCTTTAGAATATTCCGAACACTGTTCATATATTTCTCCCTGATGCTGAAGGCACGGCAGTGTTTCCTCAGGAGGTCATCTAACTTTTCTATTTTCTCCATACTTTCTGTTTTTCCTCCCTTCTCTTCGAGGTAAGACTTCAGTGCTGTGGCAGACAGGAAGTTGTTTTCCTGTTCATTTTTTTGGTAACAATACCACTCTACTTTGATTCGAACATACTTCTTTGTGTTTTCCCGCAATATGCGTTGCTCCTTTTCCAGAGCCATGTCTGCCTTGTAATCCCTGTCAGTGAGGATGAATACTTTTGCCTTCTCCTGTTCTTTCTCACATTTCTCATCCTGATGGAACAGATTTTTATCCAGAAACCCAACCAGCTTTCCTACAACATCGGGTGTTGGTCTTGTACTGTTACAGTGCACAACAATTTTGTCATCAATGTCAATGTTGCGGAGCTTCTTTATCCATGCTTTCAGTACTTCTGCATCTGTTTCATTTTCAACAATAAGAATGCACTTTGTTTTAAGGGTTTTGGAAAACTCCATCAACCTTGTGGTATGGTCACTTCCCCTAAACAAAGTGCCGAGTGCTGACATGACATCTTTTGGAATGATGCGGGGATTGTCACCATCAAGTGATATGATGCGACTGCATGCCATTAACGTGTCTACTGCATGGCATGCAAGCACAACACAGAATTGTTCCTTCTTCAGGTAGTTCAATAGCTTCCGCACCAAATTGCCATGAAACAAAGCAACTGGCTCATCTAAGAGCAGATGCATCGGCTTTTTCCCCTCCTCCTTTCCCTGCACATAGAGCACCATCAACATGATGATGATGACTTGCTGTAAGCCAGCGTCACAACGAAATAGTGGAAGACTAACACCATGTTCCATGACCTCTATCTGTACTTTTTTTTCACGTTTATTTGGGATAAACTTCACTTCACATCCTGGTCTGATTTTGAATTTCTTACTATTAAGTACTTCGCTGATCTTGTCACCTTTTTCCTGAAGTGACTCTAATATTTTTTCTGTGTCATTGCCTTCTAGTCTTAGCAGCTTTCTGACATGTCTCCGGCTATCAACACCTATGTTGTACACAACCTTACTCTTTGCATGTATGTCTTCCTGGCTAACAGGTTCTTCTGTTCCCTGGCTGCCAAAATAAAATGGAGCTGTGAATGCCCCTATGTTAGAGATGGACAAAACAGTTGGGCATCCAATCTCTTTTAACTTTGACCTGCTATAGCTACATGAAACTGTCACTGTGCCACCCAATTCATCACCATCCAATTCACTGCCAACTTCTGCAGTGACTTCAAAACAAATTGGATCAGTTTGTCCAGAAACTTTGCCACTGATTTTCAAAACTTTACTAGTGTCCTTCTTATACCAAATGAGCTTATAATCTTCTAAGCCTACCAGCTTTGCAAAAGCTGTCTTCTGGCGTTCAATTGAGTATTCATCATCACTTGTATTATCAGAAATTGATTCGGCAAAAAGTCTTGAAAATAGTTCAATAGCTGTCAGCACTGTAGTCTTGCCTCTACCATGTTCTCCCAGGAGGGAGGTTGATTCTGTATGAATCTGGATGGTACATGGTTTTCCAAACCGACAAAAGTTTTCAACACTTATTTCAGTCAGCAGTGACCCTGTAATGGAAAGGAAGATAAATTTTTAGGGAAGTAAATCAAACACTATTACAACACTATAACAAATGATACAACTGCCTATTAAAGTGTTTATGGCACCCAAATACTCAGCCACTGTTCAATATGCCGATACCGTGTTTAATCACAACACAGCAACTGCTTCAGAACAATATTTCTCTTTTTTTAATGCAACCAGGGCAAATATTGTTGGTCATGCAGTTGCATGTGATCATGGTAATTTAGCACTGTTTGCTTCTGAAAATATATTTTGGTGTCCTAAGCACTTCAATCCTGTTGTTTGGGGTTATTTGTCTATAGTAAATGATGATGGTTTTGTGTGAAAAATGTGACTGTTGGTTATATTATGGCTTTCCTGGAGACATTTTGAAGCTAATGCAATCTTCATGCTTTCTGACATAATTCCCCCTTAAAGTTTACAAAACACAATATTGACACATCAAATTTTTGCCATGATCATAACTGAAATTTAAGTACAAGGTGTCCTTCTGAAGTCCCAACTCAATTTGCTTAAGTGCCTTGAAATCGTAGCAAGGAAAAAATGATTATCTGTGTCCAAGGGCAGGGGTGGGGGGTCTTGGTTGTTGAAAGATTACCGTAACACATATTACATATTTTAGCTTACATAGTTTGACCTTTTCATGAGCCATTCTTTGGTACTGGCAGATAACCCAATATTTAACCAGCAGTGCTTAGGGGCAGCCTTGGACAAACCAACCCAACCAGTTTTATTTTTTCATTGCGCAGCTCAGTTTCGTTGGGCGCCATTTTTTCCAACTGTTGGGAAAAGAGCACTACGTATACAAAAGTGAGTAGTGCCCATTGGCACTTGTCTTAAGTGTGCTAAAAGTCAATTAAGTGTTCTTACCTTCAGTAGTCATGCCAGTGCTTCTAAGATTGGTTAGTCACCTATGAACACCTGTAACTGCAAGTTCTCGAAATATTTTTGAAATATTTGGATGACGGGAACAGCAGGCGCTAAACCGGATAGCGAGTGTGGCCTCGGCTATTGCATTACCTAGTTGCAAGAGCGTGGTCTGTGCTGATTGGCTAGGGTGAACAATGCGTGTTTGTATTCGTCTGGTGTCGTGTCACCGTGTTACACCTTCATATACTGTAAGGCAGCCCTGATTAGATTAGTAATATGTCCTCATTGAATGCGATCAGATTAGTAATATGTGATCAGGTTAGTAATACAGTTACCATGTAATTAGCAGGAGCTGGCACTCACTACAATATACAAATGTAAAAGCTCAGGGAGAGGGTCTGAAATCTCTCTTTATTTTGTAGTGGACATTAGGAATGGGTTGTTGACATAGCAAATATTTGCAATTTACCTGTTGCACCAGAACAGTAAATTAGCCGGAGGCAATGTAAATTGCAGTGATTTACACATAAAACAAAGGGAGCAGGGGAAGGAGTGTTACCTGTACTTTTGGTAGCTCAAATCGATAACTTATAATGTAATACATATATTGCTTTCTCCATAGAAATATGAGCTGTACCTGGTCAGGAGTTAGTCTGGCATGTATGTATTCTGGTGTACAGCAGGTCCTGGTAACTGACATCCGTCCTACTGACATTGTAGACGCCTCTTTCACCAAGGCAGCCCCCTTAAAAAATAAGTTATGAATTTCAACTTGTTCCTAAACTGAAGTTAGAGTTAATCTTAATCTTTCTATAATAATTGTGTGTGAAGCAGAATAACATTTTCTTATTAGCCATATTCTTTGAGCTCCAAACCCTACCTGCGACATTTTGGTCCTTTTTACTCCGCGAAGGAGGTATACCCCAGTATTGTGGGTAGACGGTTTTTCGTGTTCGCAGTCAAAACACAGGGTTCCCTTTTTAATCGGCATGCAATTGTATACGTCATCTGCAGGCATGCCAATGTAATATTTCAGATACACCCCTTTATTTCAGGGCATATTGGACTGGCCGAGAAAAACCGATTGTCATGAATAGCGGGGGGGGGGGTCAAGCAGACGTAGGGTGAATTGTTTAAGCATAACCAGATGTGGGTCGTCCATTGTTTATGTATGGATGATGTTTTTTAAGGTGTTCACGGTGAAAAAAATATGGCTGTGTCCATTGTATTTCTCTAAAATTGGGCATGTCGTGTGCCATTATGTCTGTGGTTCTCTAAGCAGATATTAGGTAGTTGTTGGAAAACGAATGAATTACATCATTATAGAAAGGATCATTACTCATATATAAGGTTGTACTAGTAAGTAAGTAGTAAAGCCTTTGGCATAACAGTCCTGTATACTGTAATTCACTTCATGTTCATGGTAGGAAAAGTTCAGTCTGGAGGTGTTCACGGAACTACTGGTATATGTTACATGTTATATACACAGTGGTGGCAGGCACAGAAAAAAAGTTGGTAAAAGTACATGTACCATGAAAAAATTATTTAAAATTCACATTCTTGGCTACCTCATACCACACAGGTCACTGTTGAACCCTGCACAGTTAATCAACTGAAATCTAAACTCCGCCAACTCACCTCTAATCCTTGCTGCTCACGACAAGATATCCCATATATCCCATTAAATCAGCGCCACCAGGGGTCTCCCTAGACATGTTTAGGGGAGAGGTGAACCATAATCTGTTGATGCCACTCTACAAAAAAGATCATTGAATGTTCATGCAAATAGCGCTGCTAGGATTTTGGGGAGAGGGGAGCACCCTTGCTTCATTGCCTGGGGAGAGCCCTGGCCACCAAAAACAATACCTGCATCAGCCTTCTCAAAACAAGCCGGCTACCGGCGAAAATCGCCGCCTACTCAAATTTTTGCGCCGGCTACTTTCGTCAAAATTTTCAAATTTTTGCGCCGGCTACTTTCGTCTAAATTTTCAGAAAAACAAGTAAGCTCCGTTACATTTTCTCACAAACTTCACCGGCTCATTTCTTCTGACGAACTTCAGACAAATTTCTGCTAGCTTTCTGGATCTGAAAACTGCTTCTTTCTTAGCCTCCTGTGCAGATTTCTAGTGCACGAGTCAGCGTTTGCTTCTACGAGCGGCCCGCGGCCGGCCAGAGCGGCCGAAACTTTACGGGGGGAGGTTCTCGTTCGGGGCTCGAGTTGTATCCGCGGAGCTGTATCGCTCGAGCTAGGCGGAACTTGCTTCGTAAACTCGTTGCTCACGAAAATTTATCAAGCCGCTACCTTCCCAACTTCTCCCGGCACTAGTCACATTCCTGCTACAAATAACTAGTACAAATCACGTCAAAAAATATCAAGACATGTATAGAAGCGTGTTCATATCTTTCATACACAGAGACAAATTTTCAAAAACAAATCGCCATCAGTGAGATTTCACAGCTGTTTCATTCATCAAAAGTTCTTGTCGATCGTAAAATGATCACTCATCTGTTGTCTCCACTAGTGTGGCATTTGTAGCTTAATCACGGCTAGCCAAAATCAG